TTAATTGTAATAATATAATATTTAAAAAAATATGTAGACATATTTCTCTTACAGATTCTTTAATTATTTAGATATTAATAAAATATTTTAGTCAAAATATAAGTTTTTGGATTTTATATTTATAAATAGTTTTTAAAATATCAATTTTTCATCACAGAAATACTTATACTTAACTTTTTTGTTATGTAAAAATTACACATTATTATTGTACGTGTTTATAACATAAATTATTTTAATATTTAAAACATTAAAGATACATTTTCAATATCAAAAAATTATAACCTAATTTAAAATATTTTCTAGTTTTTTAGTTATTTATAATTAGAATATTTTTTTATTTAATTAAAAGCACTTACAAATTATCTTATTATTATCTATAGGGAAAAAATATTATATATTTTAATAAATAAATAATTGAATCAATATTGTAACTTTTTATAGAAAAAGACAACGATTTGTATTTAACATTTTGTTTATCTATTTATTAATATTATATTAATAAAATTAATATTATATTTTGTTTATTTGTTTTAAAACAATTATGTTAAATTTATTTAAATCAATTGTTAATCATTGTGAAGTTAATTGTTATTGAAATAAAAAAGTTAGTTAATTCTAAATTAGAAAACTAAAATTTTAGTGATTTTTAAAATAATATTACATCGTTTAAAAAGTTACCAGATGTAAATAAAAACATGTGATCAAAATCTAGAGAAATCAAGCAAATCTATATTTCTGATATATAAAATAGAAAACTATTTTTTATATATTAATTTATTTGAAAATTATTTATTGCTAGTAAGAACATAAATAGTTAAAAAAATAAAAATTCATAAAAATTCATACAGTTTGTAAAAAACAACTGTAAAAAATAAAAATTAATGCCATTTTATACAATGATAGTGATATAGTTAGTTAATTTCAATTTTGATACCAATATTACACTAGTGAATTATCGAAATTACAATATCTGTCACGTGATATTTATTTTTCAGGCATTTTCAATGTTTTAAGTAATTGAACGATATGTAGATGGCATTATATAACGGTTAGTTTGAAATGTTTAATTTTGAATTTTTATATATTAATATTTAAAGTTAAAAAAATTTATATTGAATTTATTTCAAATTAAGTCAACATATTTAATTTAATAAATGATAATTACATTATGACAAAGTTTGGTTAAGATACATAACAACATTCATTCCAAACTGGTAACAATTTTTAATCGATAGAGTATACACGTTTATTTATAAATATTTACATTTAAATATTAATTATATTGGTATTATATATAAAATGAATATTATCTGTGTAATATGTAGTGATTTATTAGTACCTTCTGATGATGTTTTTTATACACCATGTGGACATATTTTTCATTTTGCTTGTGTAACTCAATGGTTAGAAAGGTAAGAATCTAATAAATAAAATTTAATTTAAATTTTCATGAATGAATAAGATTTTTATTTACAATTAATAATATAGGTTTTCTATATCTAAAAAAATATTGAATTATTATAAATTTATTAATTTTTTTTATACAGATCCAAAACTTGTCCACATTGTAGAGAAAGGACTACATTCAATAAGATTCATAGAATATATTTTAATTTTGCCAATAATGATGCTATTAGTGAAGATACATACTCTTTACAAGACAAAATTGATAAATTGAATTTTCAACTTATGTTAAAAGAGAAAGATATTAAACATTATACAGAAAAGATTGAAACATTAGAAAAACAAAAAAAAGGATTAAAACAAGAAGTAGGAAAAACAGAGAAAGAAATAAAAGAGAAAACTAGTACTATTTATGCTCTCAAAGAACAAATTAAATATTTTAAAGAGCAAAATTTAGAAATAGAAAAAATAAGAAAAGAAATGGAACAGTTACAAAAAAATGTTGAAAATTATAAAAAGTATGTGCAAATTTATAGCATTTCATTGTATTTAAATATTATTTAATAAATATATTTTTTGTTTAAGTATAAAAATCTTACTTGAAGCTTCAATAGAAGATGTAGATGAGATGATATCAAGAACAAATGATCCTAGTACATTGATTACATATATATCTGTGATGAAAAGGTAATTGAATATGATTTATATTTTACATCTTATTTTATATCTTATTATTATATTTTTCTCTATTATATTAAAAAAATATTTCTTTATTTTACATTTAGACAAATGACAATTAGTTTAAATAAAAGAAGAGAATTAAGAAGTAATCTAAAAAGTTTACAACAAGAACTTACTAAAGTCTCAATGGAACGAAATTCCTTGTCTCAGGAACATAGCAAGAGAATGTATATAAACTTTTAATTAATATTAAAAAAATTAAATTGATTAAAGAATTGTATTTATTGTTATATGTTATTTAGGAAACTCGAAGAAGATATAATGGTTTGTGAAACTGAAAAAATTTGTTTGCAAAATAAGCTTGCAAAAATGGAAGAAGAAATATCTTTAATGAAAAAATCAATAAATTCTAATTCAAAAATCGAAAATATTTTAATTAATAATTCAAACAATGATATTAAACAAGATAAAATTGAAGATATAAATAATAAAATAAAAAGTAAAGAAGAAGATGTAAATTCAAAAGAGGAAAATCAGTCTATTACTGTAAAAATAATTTATTGTAATATATTATACATTCAAGTTTTTTTTATTATTCATATATATAATTTCTTTCCAGAAAATTGAGATAGATTCCCCATATCTTCCAGTAAAATCAAGAGGAGTATTTACTTTAAAGCAACATACATTTCAGAAAAATAGTACAATAAAATTAAATTCTTCAATTCTTACAAAAAAACCAAGAATTCAAGAAACGTACACTAAAAATGTAAGAATGTATATAATAATTTTAAAAATAGTATATATTAGCAATATATGTACATATATTTTTTTTTTTTTTTTACTTATAAAGATTATCGATTTAGGAAAATATAGAAATTAATAATATTGTGTATAATGGTTTGGGAGGACATTCAAAAATTGAACAATTTCCTCATCCTTCTAGAAGCAAAACAAAGAAAATAATAGATACTGGAAGTAAAGCTAAAAAATTAAAAATTGATTCAACTTATATTATTGATTAATAATAACATATTAATAATTTATAATATATATATATAAATAAAATTTGTAAATAGTATTTAAGAAAAATAAAAGAAGAGTTACATAGATTATAATTATATTTCAAGTTGTTAAAAAATTATGAATTATAAAAATATATATGAAACATTATTATTATGTATTTTTTCAATGAAACATTTAATGTATAAACTTATATAATATTTTTATTACTGATGTAAATAAATTAAAAGAAATATATAATATATTCAAAATTTGAACTTGACTTATGAAATTTCAATAAATAACCTAATAAAATTTAAATACTACCTGCAGTTAATCAAAAAAAATCTTAAAATATAAAGCAAAAATTTATACATAAAACAACAATTTATTAATTTATTTAATGTCATTTTTTGAATATGCAACATCTCTTCATAAACAAGTAGAATAAGAATTGACGATTAGCGCTATCTTTTGAATATTTTAAGAAGATAATTTTTTAAAAAAATGTCTTAAATATTCAAAAAATGCTATTGATAATCAATTCTTATTTTCTCAATCTTTTTTTTATGATTTGTTCTTCTTATTAATATATGATTCATTTATAGCAGTAATTACATGCTATCTTTATTTTTCTTGCATTATTTATCTATATTTATCTACAAATTTTTTTTTTTATATAAATATTTATTTACAAATTTATGAGTTCGAAAAATAATATTAATCTTCAATTATATTTTAATATTATTGCAATAAAAAAAAAATAAAACTGATATTTTGATATTGATATTTTGTTAAAAAATTTGTGCAAAGGATATATATTTTATATAAAAAAACTTTGATGTATATTATAAATATTACTATTTACGAAATCAATATCAAAAAAATTAATTTAGAAAAATTTTTAAATATTTTTTATTTAAAAAAAATAAAAATAAAAAAAAGTTAATGAAAATATTCTTGTACAAAATTTATTGATAATTTATCAATAAATACCAAAAGTAACTAAATGGAATCATATAAAATTTAGATCAATCTGATAAATATTTTTTGGTTTTTTGATTTTTTTTTTTAATTTATCATTATTTTTCAAATACTGTTATTAATAAAATATTTATAATATATTTAAATTCTAAATATCTAATATATTTAAATTTATAATATTTTGAAGAATTTTTAATGAAATATTTATAATATATTCTTTTAAATGT